GCCGTGGCTCACGTTTCCTGGGCCGACCGGCACTTCGGGTACCCCAGGAGACCATGTGTTCCTACTACCGGCAAGGTTGGTTGAGTCAAAGACAAGCTTTGGGTGCCGAAGACATCACAGCTCGGCTCTATGTGCGCCTTCTGTCGGCCTTCTCCTTCAAACTAATCCAATCTTGCATACAAGCTATGATGCGTCATTCACCTGGCTGCATGCGCCGGATACGATTACTTCCGCCTTTCTGTCTTATCGATGCATCACGCAGTGTCATCCAATTTCGTCTGCAGGCTACAGGGCGTTTTTTGCCAGGTTATTGCGACGGCTGCAGTCGGGTTTCTCAGTGGGAGACCCTCGAGTGCCTTGCTCTCACGTGCTCCTTGAAGATGCGTCGTAGTGAGAGTGACGAGACTATAAAAGGGCAGCAGCTGCCACTTCCTGCCTCATTGTAATCTCACTCTTCATTCAATTGGTCTTTACCTCTCTTTGATCACGACTGATTACCATGGCACGAGTGGAAACCACCTTTGGAGCAGATAGCTCGGCCGTCCGAGACCCCAACCATGCCCCCTCTGGTCGTGATCCCGCAGCAACGCCCCAGTCGCCAGTTGGTCCCTCGGACGAAAGAAAAGGAGGACCTCGCATTGGTAGGTCAACAGTAGCAGCATATACCAAGACACAGCTAATCAAAGTACGCAGAAATCTTGCAAACAGCTGCTGGGGGCACCGAAACCAGTAGTGGTAGCAATGCCGGTAGATCCAGTCGTGCTGTAGACCATGACCGAGAGCACGCTAAGAATCGTCACAATTGGGTTTCCGTGCAGCAAGCAAGCCCTCCGCCCACGACTGGCATCGGATCCAACATCGCTGAGCTGGCAGCGAAAGCGCTTGAAACTGCGGGAGTCCCGGAGTCACAAGATCTACCGGAGCCCGAGACAGCGGGTCATACGGCTGCACACTTTGCAGTCGCTATACCCAAGTCAGACGATGAAGGTCAAGTTCAAGCCGGTCAGGGAAGCGTAGGTACGAAACCTGCCGAGCAATCCAAGAGGCAGAGCCGCGGCATGAATACAACGACATCCGAGAGCCTCAACCAACGGAAACGGAGCGCCACTTCTAGAGCGGTACCACCAACCATTGAGGACACTGCCGGCGAGACATCGAGCACCGGGAAGTCAACAGGAAGGGCAAAGCTCCCCAGGGTCGCAGAGAGCAACAAACCACAGAGTGGCTCGGGTGTTGATGGCCTTCCAAGATCAGGATCAAAATCTCAGACTACCAGCTTGGACAACACTGGAGAGACAACTGAGACTGGTAAGTCTAGCATCAGAAGCGACTCTTTGAATGGAATGCTAACCAAGGCACCTAGAAGGTTTGAACGACGCTGCCAATGCTGGCTTCCGGCTGGGAGCGTTGCAGGCCGAAGTACAACGCGCCATAGCAACTGCACCGCAGGCTGCTACAGCACCCTGGACATCTACAAAAAGAAAACAAGCAGTAGTAGCCGGCCACACAGCAATAAAAAGGTCTAGAAAAACTTTCGGCACAGGAACCAGCCTACCAACCACCAAGGACACTGCCGACGTTGAGACAACGAGTATCAGCACACCAGCGGGGGCGACAAGCCCCTTCGGAACCACGGAAAGTGAGACACCGACAGTATTCACAAATCAACAATGGAAACCACAGGACAGTCTTCAACATCCAGTGGGCCATGATGGGTCGGCAACGGACGAGAACTCGGCATGGGAAGACCTCGAAGCCAGATACGCCGCCCGTGCTGAAAGACAACTCAATCGTACACGGCTCACTAAGAGAAAGAAGGTTTTATTCGAACCTTCGAACCAAAATGCACCACACGGTTCCCAAATCTTTGTTGAAGATGCCCCTTGTCGACCAACTGTCGCAACCCGAGAAGTGGGATTGCCGACTCCAACAAGTGAAGAAACCGCTGCTGCGACAAAGCCATCTCGACTCTCGTTATCGACCGCAAACGTCCAAATAATAACTCCAGATGAAAATGGGTCCCTCAAAGTTGAGCTTGATGGCCACTGGACTGTCAAATTCGCTGACAAGCCACCGTCGTCCTCATCGAAGGGTAGCCAATCCACAATTTGGATCTCGCCAACGCGTCCACTACACCCTTAGAAGCAGCTAGCGGAGATGGCAGTTATTTATGTGCAGGGATCCAAGGTATAAAAGCGTGAACCCGGCGAACGGTTATCGACAGGCCATAGGTGTTTTGATCTTCCCGCTGTTGCGGCGCATATTCGTTCAGCTACTTACAAAATGTCAGACCTGTATCTCCTTTCGCTCACCCCATTGCCTTGCGTACTCTCACCGCTTAGCGACAGCATCGTGATGTCATCGCCAATACGGAGGCCGATGATTATGTCTCACCGAGACCACTAGTGACTATAGTCATTGAATTCTGCCTTCAGCACCAGAGCAGTAATCGGGATCGGCAAGTTCGGCACTAGGCGTACGTGGGATGTATCAACTGAGCTGTCGATGCCAGTGGCCGGCTAGGAGGCCGGCTGGGAGCTCCTTCCATTCGAACCAACAAATGCCAACATGTTCTCTCGATCCGCTTCCAAGATCCACCCAATCCAACGTCATAACGCTTAGCCAAGTCAATTGCTCACAGTCATGCGACGCAGTAGCAGATGTCGAACTGAAAAGACGCGAACCTTGGATTCGCAAAAGAACACAAACTAGATAAATAACGTGCGCTCCTACCCTACAAGTATCCTGGCAGGCTCTTCTCGGAACGAATGGCGAAGAGATGGAAGACTTCGTTGCTCAAGTGAAGACCGCGGTCTCCTCCCTCCAGCCATCACTGCGCCGGACGACGTCTATAAGGTCACCCGCTGGTTGAAACCGCGACAACGCATATCCCCACCACCAATACGGGTCGGCGAGCAGATCTTCTCGAGAAATAAGGATAAAGCCCGAGCCCTGGGCCAGGCTAAACTTAAACGGCGTACGGCTAGCGATGATATTGCTGACCCCTGGTCATACCCAGTCGCTCCAAAAACCTTGATCCCTTTCGACCACACGATTTCATACGAGGAAGCTCGTTTCGGGCTCCTCAGTATTGGCAACACATCTCCTGGCGCCGACGGCATCGCGGTGAACATGCTCCAGGAACTCTGGCCGACAATAGGTCACCTCGTCACAGGTATCTATAACGCGTGCCTACAGCAGGGCTACTGCCCGAGCGCATGGCGAACAGCAGAGGTGGTGATGATACCAAAACCAAATAAACGCAACCTCACAGACCCATCTGCATGGCGACCAATCTCCTTACTTTCTTGCCTGAGTAAGGGTATGGAACGTATTATCGCCAAAAGAATGTCGCATCTCGCGATCAAACACAAGATACTACACCCAAACCAGGCGGGCGCTCTGCCTCAACGCAGCGCCACTGACATCGCTGCCGCCCTCACACACGATGTAGAGCAGGCACGACGGAGAAAGAAAGCCGCCACGCTAGTGACGATGGATGTAGAAGGAGCATTCGATGCGATTCTGCGAAATAGGCTGATACTCCAGCTACGGCGACAAGGCTGGCCGACATTTCTTATCCGCTGGCTAGCGACATATCTCACACGTCGACTGGCGAAAGTTCGCTTTGAAGATCGCGAAGGCACTAGAGCTCCTGTGTGGAATCCCACAAGGCTCTCCTCTCTCACAAATCCTCTACCTGCTAGCAACGGCGGCGCTCTACGAGCTCCCTGGCGCCACGCAACGGTACGGGTACGCTGATGCACCGCTATGCTCTTTATAGGAGACACACTAGAGGAAACTACCGCCCAAGCTAACGCCGCAATTGCGGCGATGGAGGAATGAGGACGTCAAGAGGGTTTTGCCTTTGACGTCAAGAAGACAGAAGTGATCCATTTCGCGAGCCAGAGGCGAAATACCCTACCACCTATACAGCACCAGGACCAGACGATTAAACCCAAACCAGCAATGCGGTGGCTTGGCGTCTGGTTTGATGCACGCCTTAACTTCACCATCCATATCATGAAGTGGGCGCAGAAAGTCAAAAGTGTCATCTATCACCTGCGAAGCATGAGTAACACCATTCGTGGAATCTCAGCTGCCGCAGCAAGAAAAGCTGCGTGGGCAGTGGCCATACCAACCCGCTTCTATGGAGCAGACGTCTGGTTTCCTGGATCAGAGAGAGTGACGAGGGGCCATCTCGGGATAATCCAGAAAACACTAACGGCAGCCTGCCGGATGATTCTACCCTCGTGGAAGACGACCCCCAAAACCACGCTCTGGAAGGAGGCAGGCATCCCACCAGCAGAACTGCTTCTGCAGCAGATCGCGGCACGGAACGCGAACCGCTGGGCACGTCTAGATGTCCATCATCCGCTTACTCGCTGCCTCCTACAGCATGAGCACGAGATCCAACACGCCACCTATCCAGATGCGTCCACGGCACGGCGAACAGCGATAAGAAACATTAGGCTCATCCGTAATGCTGCTCTGGCGCCAGCGGCGGAACGCCCACGACTAATCCCCCAACGCTTCTCCAGCGCAATCTGGACGGAGAGCAAGTAACTTCGTCCAACAAAGAAACGCCAAGCGGAACGAATTTGGAATTGGAGCCAGATCCAGACGAGGTTAGTCGTCTACAGCGATGGCTCCAAAACTGAACAAGACACCGCGGGATTCGGATATGCCGTTTACCGGCGGCAGCAGCTTATCGCGCAAGGTTGCGGACAGATTGGCAGGAGCGAAGTGTTTGACGCAGAGATCAAAGGCGCGGTGGAAGGCCTCCGCGCTGCTCTCGCACATCAGCGCCCAAAGGAAGGGATCACAGTTTGTATCGACAACACTTCTGTGATTGACTGCATAGGCACGACGGCACCGCCCTCATCGCAGATGGCGTTCCGCATGTTCCAGAAAACAGGTGATGCCCACCCAGGCATGATTCGCGTGCGATGGTGCCCAGGGCACACCGGGATCGAAGGCAATGAGCTGGCCGACCAGCTTGCCAAGGAAAGTGCAAAAATGCCGGTCGGGGACAATCTCCCAACAGTCTCCTACTGCAGGCGCCACATGCGCAGCCTACTCGCCATTGCGTTCCAGCGATGGTGGGACAAAATTGATCGCGAAACCTATCGTGGACTCCAACTAAAGGCAGAGCTGAAGAAACTTCCTGAGCTCACACTTCAGCGACGGCAGCTAGGATATCTCCTAGCAGCGAGGACACACCATGGAGACTTCGCCGACTACCACGAGCGCTTCAATCACGAAGACGCCGAACTCAACTACCCATGCGGGCGCCGGAAGTCTCCAACTCACCTCTTCTACTACAAAAGAATCCCCCGCAGCCTCAGGCCTCGGCTGGCACCCGAGCCTGAAGCTGCGATACGGAGATACCTGGGTAGATCCTTCCAAACCTACTTGCTGACTTCTATTATTCGAAGATCAACAAACGATACTAAGGAGCAGAAGGCGCCCTCAACTGGCGACTGAGAGACGAACAAATCGCCCAAGCAGCGCTAACTGCTTTTAAAAACACCAATTTCCATTTCTTTTGTTACGTGGAAACACGCGTCAACGAGCCTCACGGCACAACAAAGCTGTAACACAGCACAAGCAGCTCTCCGCTGACGGAAGCCGCTCCTCAGCAAAAACTGCCAATTGAGAAGAAATAGTTCTGTCTCGATTAGCGCGCAGCTGCTACTATAGGAGGAGACTTGGGTCATGTAGCTGTTTTCGAAGCCCCTGGTGAGAACGTGGACACGCCCCCGGACGCGCCCCGTCATGCTCCCCGGAACGGCGACACATTTGTGCGTTGAATATAGATAGCAATCCTTTTTGCTTACACTAGAGCTATACCATAGACGTTAAATAATAACATAACATAACATCTCGGAACGAATGCGGTGGCTTCCCAGCCGGTATGGTTTCAGGCGTAGGCCGAAAGGGCGTCTACACTGGTACATACAAAATAGATCCTCCCTCTATGAGGAGACGTTTTACTCCATCCGCTCCCTGTCAAAGTGTGGTACATCCGTAGGACTGGTTGTAGAACGAACCTCCCCACTGCTCGTCGATGGATAGTTTGCTGGTCGCGCTGCATTTATCCCTTCCTTAACGTCGTGCTGTTGAACATCGATCTCAAGTTCCCTGATGCCGTCTGGCATGCTGACACAAGCGTTGCATCTTTCAATGTACCAACTTGTTTGTTCTTTAAAACTTCGTTCAAGTAAGGCGTAATAGAGAGATGTGATGAGAGGCCTTATGCGGTATAATTTGTCGTGGTTGCTCACTAAGGTATCGACGGCGGCCCTTCGCACGTACGAGTCCTCATCGTCAAGCCTTCCCGCCACCGCCACCACCACCTCGTCAGGCAGTGCTGACCTCCCGCCTAGGGCCCGAACGGCGGCCCTTCGCACGTCCGAGTCCTCGTCGTCGAGCCGCCCCGCCACCGCCGCCAGCACCTCGTTAAGCAGTGCTGACCTCCCGCCTAGGGCCTGAACGGCGGCCCTTCGCACGTCCGAGTGCTCATCGTCGAGCCGCCTCGCCACTTGTTCAATGATACTTGACGGGATTAACGCTCGATTGGCTAGCGACCGCAGAATCATTGCCCGAGTATCACTAGCTTCGGGGAGTAGGGCAATCTTCAGGGCTCCTTCGGGAAATTCAACCTCACTTGCCAGCCTCGCACTGTGGTTGAATCTGCATTCAAGCAAACAGCCACTGCGCCAGCCGTTTTTCCAGGGCTTCCCGCGTTGGCAGGTTCCTCGATATTTCGCTCAAGCAATGCATGACCAGGCGCTGGTGTGTGGGACCTAAGAGGTCGACCGGTTTCTCCTCGATTGAAAAAATCAAGTTTGATGCCTGGCCACTTCCGTCAAGCAAGCCGGTAACAAAGCGCCAGAAAATGTCGTAGCGTGCTGTGTATTTGTGTTTCCGAAGGAATTCTATAGGTCGGCTTATTTTGGTATTTGCGTCTTTGCTGCCCAAGGTAAGAGTCCGGAGTTGTCCTTCCTGATTCGTCCACTGTCGCACAAAATACCGTGCGGCAAAGTACTCTTGAAATGTCAAGTGTATGAAGTGATAGTTTCTGTCCTTGATGTTTGATACTGGATTTGAAGTCCGTAAGAAGGATAGTCGCGAGAGTGTCTCATCGAGTGGCAAATCTTGTAGTGGGCACAATTTGACCACACCATCTCGATGTTCTGGCGTGAAATCAATTGTCATGGTGTAACCCGTTGAATGCAAGGCATTCAACTAGCGCCATCTCAGCGGTGACTTTATTCTCGATTTCAGCTGTATGAGCGACTTCAGCAAATCCCTCCCTGATCTTCTCCAATCGTACAATATCCTTCTTCCATAACTTTTGCACGATAGTGTTATACATGCCGGTCATGGTGCTTGGCACAGCTTTCGGATCTTTCCCAAGTGTAACAAAGCGCGTCCAATTGAATTGGGATACGCACAAGACCCTGAACGAGCCAATGCTTTTGCAGGAACGACTGGACCTTGTCGACTTTGGACTGATCAGTCTTGGCCGTTTTGGGGTTCGTGAACGATTTTTCGATATATTCATCCACCTGATCAGGGCCGAATCCAATTGTTTCTGATTCGAGGTGCAGGTTTTGCCGCACAGGCTTGGCGGATGGTCGGGAGGTGATGATGACGTTAGGCTTCCTTAAAAGCTCGTCGAGAAAGCGGGGCATACTGCCATCGCCCGTGAGGTCCTGCGATACTTCGTCCAGGCCGTCGAGGAGAAATAATGTCTTGCTGCTCTTGCTTTCTAATGCGCGGACCAACGCTCTAGCGAGGTTTGGTTCATTCTTAGGCAGCAAGAACTCATGGCAGAACAGATCTTCAAGGATGTACGTCGGTGCATTGCGCCTTTCCCGTAGCTTCAGATTTCGCAGAGGCACCCATAGCACGCGGTCGATAATTCGTTCCATTTGTCCCACGTGCCTTTGTAAAATTCGTGGATAATCTTTCTGCACAAGGTAGTCTTGCCAACACCCGCACGTCCCCGAATCAAGATTCGTCGTGGGAGAATCGGTTGGCCGTCGCTTCCGTTGCGTTCGTTGAAAAGTGCCGCCAACTCGACCTGCATAGTCTTGTCGGGCGCCTCAACCTTCTGCCGAGAGAGGATGGAAAATGGGGATGGCGCTGTGTCCCCCTTCTTTGAGTGGCCTGCGTCTTGGCCGGATTGTTCCACGATGGCTAAGTTGATGTAGCACTGATCCATAGACAGCGACTCGCCCGAGAGCCGTTCTATTCTGAGCCTGTCCGCCGTGTAGTGTTTGTCGCGTATCCATGTGTCGACTTGCTCGAGCAGCGATGGGGTCTTCAGGCGTCGTATCGCCGCTGCCAGCGCCGTGAACAGCGGATCAGTCGGCCCGCCGCACTTGTTGAGCCCAGAATGATCCGTTTCGATGCTGTGGCTCTCGCGGGCATCGGCATGGACCTTGGCAGAATCCCGTGAAACCACCTGTAAAATGTTAGACGGCTGCTGACAAGAAGCTGTACACACTTACTACGCCTAGCGATAGCCCGAGCAGATACGTCTTCTTAGTCTCGTAGAATGATGTGATCGGAACCTTGCGCTCTCGGCGTACGTTCGGTGCTATACGAGAGTCGAATGTATCCGCAAGGTTGCTGAGCTGGGCCCCATGATTCTTCAGAGACAGGAGCAGTGTCGTGTCTGATCCCAGAAAACCGGTCAGAGCGGCCAGCGCAGCGCCAGCAATAGACACTGATGAACCTTGATGCGGCGCTCCAAGGAATATGATACCCGCGGTACTATCAACGATATCTTGGGAGTCACCCGTGCACAGAGCCTTGTAGGGGTCAGAAGACAGGAGGGTCAACCGTTTAGGGGCACAACCATACCTGCTTGATAATGATACCACCTAGGCTATGGCCGATGAAGATGATAGGGAGGGACTAGCAGGGCGTTAGCCATGTCCGGCCATGGGCGTCGTGATCCGTACGGGGGATGGTCGCTTGTCCTGGATCTCCTTGAGCAGGCATTTGCCAATCTCCTCGGTGGTCTTGACAGGGGCGTCAATCAGCCAGCTGGATTCATGAGCAGAATTCCAGATCCTGGCGTCAGGAAAATCGTGCGCGAGGAGATCTTTGAGCAGGTGAACCTTCGAGGACTGTGCGGTTTGACATTCAGCTGCGTTGGGTCCTTGGGTTTTCTGAGCCTCCCATGTGTGATACGGATGTGCACTGAGGCCAGGGACGGCGATGATCCTGCATCGAAATCAGTAACGCGTGCGGGTCGAACGAGCAGTTCTAACGGACTCAAATTTGGTATCATCTTTTCCAGAGAGAATTTGCAGTGTTCCAGAGCGATTCTCATTGGGGGGTCGACAGATCTTGCCTATGACGCGATGGAGCGACCTGGCGAGGAGGAGTGTCACTATGGCCACGCCAGCGCCCCACCAAGTAGTCATCCATCTACAACCTGTCGTCATTTAGCTTGGTAAAGACAGACTGTGAAGGTACGAAAAGAGTACGATAATTGCACAAGCGTGTGACTGCCTGGGCAAGGTTTGTAGACGAAAATGATGGCCCAACAATGCACAGCGGACGGGTTGGGACGCCACGGATTTTATTGCTACACGGATGCAAGGCTGCCAGTCGTGTAGTACTTATTAAAGTGCAGGCCGCAATCGATGCTTGTCGTACCGGTATAGCACTGCTGCACTGCTGTCGAAGCGCCGTGGCGCACGGAAATGTTTCAGTGGGCATGTCTTAATGGTATGCACTCCACCACGTACAATTACGTGTGCTTCCCCTCCTATCATCACTTGCGAACATGTCTCACACGACCACGGCTCTGCCGACGTACGCTCGGCCTCCTCTACTTTTACGCGGCGCTGCTCTCGCACACGATTTGCTCATCGCCCAAGAAACGCACCTGCTGCGCCAGAGATAACATGGTGCGGGTGGCGGATACTCGTCGAGCAGCTGGACACCGAACACACCTGCCCCGCATCGACTGGCGATTTGTCCACGGGGAGCTGCGTCTCTGAGTCGTCTGAACAAGATATACGCCCTGGCACGGACGGCGATGCGCGGATACATGGCTCGCTGGGATCGGCACCGCGCCTTTTTCCACGATCACTTTGCTTGGCTGGCCAGCGCAACAGTGTTCATGGCGCATTGTCCTGACTGCCATGCAGGTCGGGCTGGCGATCGGTCCGTCGGCCACAATCAGGCGTTTCAATCTGCGTCGTAGGGCTTCACGGTTTTTCTGTTACGGGGGCCCTCACTGCCGCCTCAGTCATTGTGCTTTAATTCTGTGCCTCTTTCTATGAACTGATGAAGGCTCTCCATCAGAAGGGAACACCTTACTCTGGGGTGCGCTCCTCATAACGTCAACGAAAGCAATATTAAATGACGGGGTTGAAAACCGAAGGATGAATGAAGGTCTGCAGTGTAATTGTGCAGCTAGCCTGGTCATCGTGCGCGAACAGGATATTGCGAATATGCGACATGTCCGAAGCATCTTTGCCGACCAACCGATGCGCCGATTTGTGCACGCGTTCACCATCATGGACGCCGTTATCATGGGCTGCTCCCAAAGGGCGCGAGGCTATTCTTAGTTGCTGCTTGATTCGGGCGCCAAGTCAACAAACAAGATACTGATGGTCGGACGCCGCTATCAAAGGCTGCTCAGAGCGAGCACGATGCTATTGTTCAGGTGCTGCTTGAGGCGGGTGCTAAAGCCGCCTCCCCGCCTACCCCCCACCACGATCGCATTTACATACGTGGAAGTGGCAAAGCGAAATGACAAATGTACATACACTCATTGTTTATTACGCCCGGTGGCTTCCAGCCAATAGGGCTGGGCAAATGTACACCCGCGGGCAAGACCACGAAAATTTTTCACCCATTCAGCTCCTGAAGGCGATAGAGATGCCAAACTAAAAGGCGTTGTTGCTAATCGCTAGGCCTATCGCCGCGAGGCACGTGGGTGTGATGCCTCACTTGGGCAGAGGATGCCTGGCTGCTCGAAGTAGAATATGGCGGCCAGTCGTTTGGTCCAGTCGTTTGGTCCAGTCGTTTGGTCCAGTCGTTTGGCGTAACCTCGCCCACATGGAGAAACGCCTGCCCGACGGCAGGTGTGCATGACGGCAGGCGAGATAAGGATTTCTTCTACAATAATCACACGCGCCAGCAGCACACACTGTGGGAGCATCAAGTAGCGCATACCATCAGATTTATGCAACACAATTCTGTGCCAGAGCATCAAAGGGCACTCCTCTTGTGCATGCGTGTCATTACAACCGCTTCACGTGAAGGTACAAGACAGGGGAGCTGGCACCCCCAGAGAATACACCGCCCGTGGTGCGCGTCGTGGCAGCCAGGGTAGCGTTCGCCTGAATTGGGATGAGGGCCACGCGCCAGTGCATGCTCGGTTGGGGTATGGCCAGGATTTCATTGTGTTTGACGCACCACTTGTCACAACGCTCCGAGTCGATAATGTAATAACAACACCAACAAAAACTCGAAGAAAATCAGATTTGGTTCCGACGTGCGTGTGCTTCGCGCATCTAACCTAAGCTGCTGCCGGCTATCAATCTGTAGCTGTTCTTCTGTTTTTTCGTGCCTTTTGCGGGCACGATAGACCCTCTTCTGTATCTTCTCGAGGGCCTCCTCGTCTCCATCAATTACCATCTGGCGGCCTTTTCCGACCTCTAAAAGGCCGCCTTTCCGAAGGTGACATCCGCGTTGAATCTTCGATAGACGCTTCTTTTTTGGGGGTGGAGGGTGGATCCTCCTCGAGTAGCCGCTAGTTACGGATACTCATTTGAGTACCTGAGACTGTTTGGTGTGAAATAGGCGGCCGAACCGGGGCTGTTAATCTGACACATCTGCGCTAATTACTGATCTTTTATGGCAAAATCAGCTTTTCGCCGTGCAGAAATTAGACAATTGATTGATTGATTGATTGATTGACTATTACGTCCGTTTGCGCCCTAGTGTAGGCTTTTGGACGTGCTATCGAGCCTTCTACGGAC